TTTGTATCTTTGGGGTAAATACCCAGTAGTGCAATTGCTGGATCGTATGGTAGCTTTATTTTCAACTTTTTGAGGAACCTCCATACTGTTTTCCAGAGTGGTTGCACCAGCTTGCATTCCCGGTTTGGTGGGTTTTTTGTTTGTTTTTTACTTTATGAGAATACAGATAATTGACCCGGTACAAAACACTCAAACCTCGGTCATTAGATGTGGAAGTGTGGTTTTGGGTCTTGATGAGAAGTCAGAGTGTGACTGGGGGCTTCACCAGAAGTGGCGGGTGCGATGGAGCCGGGGTTCTGCTCTAACAGCCGTGCGCTGTAGTGCCTGGATGTGTCCTAGCCTGGGCCCGGGCTGCCGAAGCCTCCCTGCTTCCTCCCTGGGGGTGCCGTGGGCGTGCCTGGATGTTCTCGCTGCGGCACAGTGTGTATGATGTTCAGGCGGGCATGTTGAACTGTGTAGGGCATGGCAATGATGACTGCTGAGAGCAGATCCCTGGCGAGATGACGGAACAGGGAAACACTGGATGAGGCTGACTTTCAGGGGCGTGGTAGGGAGTTAGGTCGGCTGTCACACCGAGTCTCGTCCGTCAGGGTGGCAAGCCTTAGTGATGTTTGAGCAGCATTTCCCAAACTTGGCTGCACATCAGAATCTCCAGGCTCACCTTGCAAAGTTGAGTCAGCAGCTGTGGGTGGGGCTGGACTCTGCTAGTAAGCGCCCGGGGCCCGGCTCCCCTCCCCACGTGCACTTGGGAGTGAGAATTCCTATAACTTCCACCTCGGTGTAAGCCGAAACATAACCAAGAAATAAATACACTACAAGTAATCATCGAACCGAAGATAAAGGACTTTCAGATGGTACCACCTTAGCAGATTCAGGTCACCACTTCCTTGGGTGTGGCTCATTGTTGAGCATTTATTTTACTAGACACTTGATTTTTAAAACAGGTGTATTAATATTAGCGACTGAAACACTAATAAGCTACTAAATTACATTGTATTGGGAGTTTTTTAAAATTAAAACTTTTTATTTTGAGTTAATTGTTGATTCATAGTCCATTTTAAGAAATGATACAGACAGATCTTGTGTACTGTTTACCCAGCTTCCGCAGGTGGTAGCATCATGCAAAACTCTAGGTACGATATCACGGCCAGGTATGGTTGTTGTTATAGTCAAGACCCAGAACCTTCCATCCCACAAGGGTCCCTCATGTTGCCACCCACGACCCCTTCCCCCTGGCAGTTGCTAATCTAGTCCTCAGGTCTATAATTTTGTTATTCCCCCTTGATAAACCTGCGTCAGTGCAGAATCTCAAAGGCCTTAGCTTTCCTTTGAGAATATATGAGTTTATTGAGCCAACACTGGTTCTTACATATATTGGAATTTCTGGCTAGCAGTGGTATTTGTCTTTGATTCGTAAAATTAGGAAATGTGAATTTATTAATTTTGACTGACACCATTTTCCCAAATTGGGTGGTCTGGTAAGAGGGGTGGCAGAGCTGGCGGCAGACGAGTGACAGGAGTCAGAAGTGACTGGTACTGGAAAGCAGCGATATTCAACTAAGTTCTGGCATAAGTGGGGTGGCAAACATGAAGCTTTACTGGTACGCATAGGACCTTGCCAAAATATGCCACGTTTGTGTAAAAAACTTTGATAAATGGAGACACCTAAAATATCATTTCACTTTTCTTAAAGGTGCGTATGAAAAGCAGAGAATCCAAATCAATTTAAGAAGCTCCTTTTCTCTAGAATCCATGATGCTCTCCCTGTAAATTTATATTCTGCCCCATGTTCTACCCCATTGTCTCTGTGTCCCTGTCTGCCTGAGGAAATGTCTTTCCCAGGAGAAGTGGACCTGAAATTCTTTCAGTGCCTTCTCAGTCCATTTCTTACCGTCCTGTGCCTGCTCCAGTCTTTATCTGCCCCGTGGGAGCTGGGCTTGCCCCAGAGATCACCCCTCATCTTCGGCCGGGGGCGCCGTGACCAAAGTGCCCTGTGACTCCGTGCCCCTCCGTTGATAGCGGCTCTTCAAATCCTTGCGTGTTCTGATCACACATAATGTGTGTGAGAATCAGCGTTGGTTCGGCAGGTGTACAAGTTTGTGTGGCTTCCCATTTGGAGCTTGTGGTCGGGCCAGCCCAGCCAGACGCCCCGCTGCGTGCCCTGTCCCAGATCCACGGTCAGTATGAGAGGTGCTGGAGTGGTGGTGGGACTCAGAGCGGTTTGTGTGCTTTTGTAAACAAATAAGCATTCTTTATATTTAGAGCGTTGTTGAGATATACCATACATACTGTAGTGTTCACCCATTTATTTGAAGTAAAATTTAAAGGTCTTTAGTATATCTACAGAGTTGAGCCCCCATGACCACATCTACTTTTGGAATGTTTCATCACCCCAGAAAGAAATGTGGCACCATTAGCGGTTAGCAGTCACTCCCCGTGCCCCCCCTCCAAGCCCCAGGCCCCCGACAACCACCAGTCTACTGTCTGTCTCTGTAGACGCACCTGTTCTGAGCATTTCACATCAGTGGCATCCCACAACACGTGGTCCTGTGTGGCTGGCCTCCCTCACTCGGCATCCTGTGTTCGAGGCTCATCCGTGGCCTGGCCCGTGCCCCACGCACTCCAGTCCTTCTTTTGGCTGAATCATATTCCGCTACTCAGATACACCTCATTTTGCGCATCCACTCACTGGCTACCTGATATTGGGGTTGTCTCTGCCTTTTTGGCTGCTGTGAACATTTGCGCGTGAGCGCTCGAGGGGGTGAGGGTTTCATTTCTCTCGAGCACACGTGTGGGGGTGGAGCTCTGGGTCACGTGCTGCTTCTGTGGTGAACTTTTCTGTGGACCTGCCCACGTGTGGTCCCCAGTAGCTGCACCGTAAGAGATCTTGTACGTTACTGCTGGATTTGATATTGTCACAGCTTCTAAACTAGTCCGTCCTTACTAGGGTCAGCAGTTCCCAGCCTTACTCACGGACCCCTCGCTGTCGGGCCAAGGGGGAGCAGGTTCGCCACAGGTCATCCTAGTGAGCCACACCCCACAGCCCTCCGCCGCTGCGTGTGAGGAAATCGCCTACCAGGTACGCCGCGCGCCTGCGTTCACGCTCGGTCGCGGGTTGTAAGGAATGTGGATTGAGAGGGGCTGGACCCAGAGGGCTTGGGGGGTGCTGGGGGGCCGCTCCTGGGGGGCCGTCTCTAGCCGAATGGGAGTGAAGAGCCTGGGCTGAGCCGCGCTGTGAGTACTGACTCCCTCACTACGTGATTTGTGGTTTGCTGGGGCCAGGTTTTTGTGCCACAAAATAAGATGTAGAAACTAGTCACGTGTGAGGCTAGTTTTAAATTTATTGAATCTCCTACTTGCCTGCTGATCAGATTTCACATGGACACTTAGTTCTTTTCAAGGGTTTTCTTGTAATACCTTTGCCGATTCTTTTAGGTCTGGTTGTACTTTTTTCGTATACACATGTGTGTGCGCGTGGACTATTTGTCATTTGGTAGTTTTTTCCTTAAAACGTATGTTTTGAGGGTCTAAGACATTCAGTAAGTGATAGTTTTAAATATAGAAGACTCTAATAAAATCTCTTTCCTTAAAACTTTTCAGAGTTAGAGGTAAAGTACAGACAATAAATAACCACTGGCTCTGAGCAGCATTACATTTTAAGCAGTTTGAGCAAATGAGTTTCAGGACAATTACTTACTGGTCTTTCAGTGGGACAAGACTCCTTTTTTATAAAGAAATTAGACACGGTCAGCACGGGGAGTTTCCCAACCGGAGCTCATCCAGCTGGAGGTGAGTTTGTGTCTTGGGGGCCGCGGCCCGCGGCAGCTCAGTGACGCACTGGGAGGGCCCGCAGGACTTGGAGCGCGGGCGGACGCGTGGGCGCAGCGCTCACGGCCCGCGATAGCGTGGCTGCCGGGGGGGCCCACGTGCGCCCGCGGAAAACCTGCGGCTCCTGTCGAGTCAGTGAGCGCGGCTGTGCGTGGCCGGCTCTCATCCTGTGCTTCCTTAAAACGTGGCTGCAGGTGCAGTGCAGCCCGGACCTCCCCGATTCCAGGGGCTTCCAGGCTTCCTTTGACTCCCAGGAAACAGGTTTATGCACTGACCCGAGCACGTAGGGTCTTTCCATTGTTTCTTTGCTTCACACGCACAGACCCCTCACAGAAGTGTCACAGGGAGACAGGACTGCACCATCTGGGCGCTTCTGATCCCTTGTTTTATCCTTTTTCCATTCCGGTCTTTTTTTATTACAGCACAGATGAGTGGTCTGAGAGCACCTTATAGAAACCTTTTGTTGTCAAGTCTTTTTCTTTAAATTTTATCCATTTCTATATATTAGAAAATTATGAAAAAGTACTTGATAAACTAGAATAAAAATGTTGACAAATCCCATCAATTTTCATTATAATTAGTTAAAATTTTCTTTCACTAAGTTGTCATATACAAGTTTTTATCTGTAAAACTAAACTCTTGTTTATAAAAGCTGAGTAATGAACTCCTGCTTTATTTGTTTTCGGGGTGTTAATGGCATCCCATTAAAATGATTTGAAAACCTCACTGGTTGTGATTCAGAGTTTTGGGAAATGCTTTAATCCGCTCGAGAGCTAACACACCTTCTGCGAAGTGTTGTTTATCCTGCAGTTTGCTGAGGGAGCTCTTTAGCCACAGCAGTAGCATTTTGGGTGCAGTGTCCTCATACTCGTCTGCACTAAAACTACTACCACCAACAGCACATACCGAGTGCGTGCTGTGTGCTGGGCATCGTTCTCAGCACCCTGGGCACTGCACCCCGATACTGCCAGATGAGTCGCCGGGAGGGAGCAGCCCGACAGTTTGCCCCGGGACGGTTGCGTGTGCGGAACAGCGTTCTGTTCGCTACGCTCTGCTCGGAGTGCAAGAGCGGGCTGGCCTGATCCGCGGCCCCCGCGTCCCTGCGTGCCTGTCATCTTGTCTGTCTGTGCGTTCACGAGCTGCAGCCACTGAGCGAGGCCCGGGATTTCCGACCCACTGCAGGTCGCCGACGTGCCGGGCGGGCCGCCCGCGAAGGAGGGCCGGGTGCACGAGTGCTTGGAGTGTGGCCGCACCTTCGCGTCGGCCGCCGTGCTGCTTCACCACAGCAAGGAGGTGCACGGCCGGGAGCGCATCCACGTGTGCCCCGTGTGCAGGAAGGCCTTCAAGCGCGCCACGCACCTCAAGGTACGCTCCGCCGCGCCCTGGCCGCCAGTGCCCCGGGGTGACAGACGCCCGGTGGAGTCTGTGACTCAGTAGCAGCCGCGGATCTCGCGCGCAGAAAGAGTAACAAAGTTGCCCATTTTCTGGAGTGAAGGTCAGTGGGATTGTGGTTTTATCAGATCCGCTGGGTTGTGTGTTCGAGTGCAGTTCCGAATTCATGTCTAGTGGGACTTCAGATGACAGTGAGATGCCATTTCCCACCGAGCGGAGCAGCAAACAGTAAAAAATCTGCCAGCACCTAGTGGCCAGGCCGTGGGGAAGCAGGGGCGCCCCTCCCCCTGGGGGCCCGCACTTGGCACGGCTTTCTGCAGGGGCACAGGCGCCCCTCGGCACCTGGCTCTGCACCCACCTTGAGAATGGGGTTCGCATGCCGGGAGAGGGGCTGGGCAAACGCTGGGACATGCACGCAGTAGGGGGTAGGAGGAGGAAGGGCTCTGGGAAGTGATTTCCAGGGCCGCGGTCAGGTGACATGCCACAGTGGGGGGCGTGGACCTGGCCCCGCGACTGCCGGCCAGCGCTCCTCGTCAGCAGACGCGGCCTCATCTGACCACTAGTTAGCCCGCCGTGGATCCAGCCTTCTGCCGCACGGCGAACCCAGATGTCTGCCCTTCAGACCCACAGCTCGTTTGTGTGCCTCGGCTCTTCCTCTGCCGTGTTTTCTGGCAGCTGCACGTGACCTCCTTCACCCATCCCGCAGCCCCAGTCTAGTCACGAGAAACGCTTCAGGCAGTTCTCAGTCGAGGAACAGCCTACCAGATAGTGACCAGGGTTCCTAAAAACCGCTCAGGTCATCGGCAGAGGGAGGGCACAGGCCGCACAGCTGGCCCCTGCGGGTGTCCGGGGGGCCACCCCCACCCCCACTGAGTCCCCGAGGGCGCTCATCCCAGATTGGCCTCCGCTTGTCCTTGCTGCTCACATGGGCCCCGCGGTCGTGTTGCAGGTCTGGAGAGCCCCGCCGGGATCTCAAGTATCTCTTCCTTTCTGTGTGTGGTCTGTAACAGGAGCACATGCAGACTCATCAGGCGGGCCCTTCGCTAAGCTCCCAGAAGCCAAGAGTGTTTAAATGTGACACCTGTGAAAAGGCGTTCGCCAAGCCCAGCCAGCTGGAGCGGCACAGCCGCATCCACACAGGTAACCGCGAGCTGCGCGCTTCCCGGTCGGGTTCCGGAGGCCGGCGAGAAAGCGAGGCTCAACGTGCAAATATTCATGTACAACGTAAGCCGTTATTTATAAAGCCAGGTCCGCATATTCTGTTCTTTCCTTCGTTTTTCATCAGTTTATCATGCTAACTTTTCAAGTAAGAGATGTTGCGGTTTCCTTGGCGACCGTGGGATGTGGAACTGTTAAGGGCTGCCGTGGCCTCCGGGGACCTTGCCTGCACTGGGGTCCCCCCGCCCCCACCTCCGGGCTCCCTGTCCTCCTACTGCGGGGGACGCCATTCTCTCTCCTCCTCTTATGTCTTCAGACTGCTCTTTGCTGACTTCCTGTCACCTCCTAAACCTGCTCAGGCCTGATGTCTCAGGAAAAACCAACAACACTGAGACAAACCCCCATCTCCCTGCCTCTTGGCCCATCTCCCTGACGACTCACTTGCACCCTCCGCGCCTGCCACCCCGCCGTGGCTCACGCGGAAACACCACCGTCCCAGGGCCCCGTCTGCTGAGGCCTGTCCTTCCAGGACCGACTGCGGGACCTGCCTCCCGCTGTGGCGGGCAGCCCCGTGTTCGCACAGAGCCCGACGGAAGCCCCGGGAGCGTGGCAGACGGGACCCTCTCGTTCCCCTCTGAGCACCTGCAGGTGGGACCCTGGTGTCCTGTAAGCCATCTCACCCACTGCTGCACACCCTCATCCTGCGGCACCCGGCCGTGGGAAGCCTCGGGGACCCACACACCTTGCCACCTGGAGTCCCGACTCTGCTCCCTGAGCGTCCTCTCTGCTTGTCCCCTCTGCCCGGCCCGTCATTCTTTGCCTGGCCGTCTCTGATTTCCCTGCAGATGTCAGGTTGGACACCCCTCCCCGGGAGGCCTCTATGCCCCCCAGTGCCCCTGGCTGGCCCACGTGGGGACCTCCTTGTATTATCAGCAGGTGCTCCCCGTCAGCGTCCTTCCCCGGCCCTCGGGCTCTGGTGTTCTCAGTGATGTCCCTGCTTGTCGACACAGGCCTGGCACCGACCAGGTGTTCAGCAAACCGCTTTTGAGGGAAAGACAGACGACGATGCTGTACTTATAACATATTTACTCAAAACCATGGTTTTAAGGGATAAAGACTACCGTTTGCCTGTTAGCACGAGCTAGGTGCTTCCGAAGGTTTGGAGAAACCCGCTGAGGGCATATTGCTGTGGGCCTGCTTCTGCTGGCTGGGTGCTCCCCCCGCAGTGTGCACGGCGCCTTCAGACCAGCCACGGCCCCTGTGCGGCCTCTGGTCCCTGCAGCGCCCCTTCTGCCTCTGCTTTGAAGGGCTGTGTGTGGGCCCGCCAGGGTGAATATCCTTGTGACTCAGCCCGAGTCACCTGACTCGTGTCGGAACCACCTCTGTGACATCCTTGTCCTTCGGGTGTGTGACGTCCTCCCGTTGCCAGTCCCGGGGATTAGAGCCGGAAAGCTTCAGGCTGCTCTAGGGCTCTGGCTGGCATGGGGAGCGGTGGTAAGCCCTCCTGTGTCTTGGCCACTGGGTGGGAGGGACAGACTTGGAGTGATGGAAGGTGACACCTGGGGAGGATGCCGAGCAGGTGTTACTGGAGCAAGCACGTGGGGCTTCATGCCGACACGTGGTCCAGGGAGGCCACTCAGGGAAAGGGGGCGGACGCCTGACGAGGCAGCCGTGCCGATGGGAAAGAACCTTCTAGGCCCAGGGGAAGGGCTTGTGCCCCTGGGGGCCTGGCAGTGGACGAGTGTGTGGGGCAGAGTCAGGGACAGCGAGGAGGCAGGACTGTGGGCTCAGGCCGAGGCAGGCTTCCAGCAGGAGTCAACGTGCCAACTTCCCTCCCATCTTTCAGTTTCTGTATTAATGTCAAAGCAATTAAAATGACATTTTAAAAAATATTGGGTAAATTATACTTTTAATTAAGTGGATTTGGCATTCTCATGTACTTAGTGTCATTTTGCTTTACTGCCCCAAATGTATTCGGAACACTTTGTTTAGACCATATGAGCTCTGCTTCTATTTCTGGATGCTTCTAGGAGTTTGAGTAGCTTTTGATAAAAGTTTTGTTCCGTGCCTCACCATGGGGCAGAGCTGCTAGACAGCTGTGAGTTAGCAGTCTGAGGGGTGGGAGGGCTGGGAAACTCGGGTACGTTCTTCCGAGCGCTTGGTCAAATGTGGGCCCGCGAGAGACGCTGACGGGACGCTGACATGACGCTGTCTCCCCTCAGGAGAGCGGCCGTTTCGCTGCACTCTGTGTGAGAAAGCCTTCAACCAGAAGAGCGCCCTGCAGGTGCACATGAAGAAGCACACGGGCGAGAGGCCCTACAAGTGTGACTACTGCATCATGGGCTTCACCCAGAAGAGCAACATGAAGCTCCACATGAAGCGGGCGCACAGCTACGCAGGTAAGACGGCGGCCCCTCGCCGGGGTCCGAGCCGGATTCCGGTGCATCCGGACCCTCCCGGCGCTGCCGGGTGCGGGGCGAGCGTGTCCACTCCTTGCGGACTCTAACGCGGCTGCCGGCCGAGGGGCGAGCAGGCGGCTGGCCATGGCACGTCTCCCTTCCGTCCCCTGGGGCCGCGCGGTCTTCGCGAGGAAGGGCTGGCGGGGGGCCGCTGGCCGTGTGGTGCGTGGGGCCCGTGCGGTGCCGGGGTCTGGAGCCGCGAGTTGTTCGGGGCAGTGTGGTCTGCGAGGGAGACGGGCCTTCACAGGCCGCGGCTGAGCGGCCAGGGACGGACCGGGGCGCTGCGTACCCCGCGGCCCTTGGCCCTCACATCTCCCTTCTAGTGCTTCTTGCTTTTCTTTCTGTTAGGATTTCATGCGTGTCGTGTTGCTCTTATTCATGATTGATCGCTTATCGCTGACCTCCTGTTGACGTAACCGTTAGGCCGTGAGCATCCGAAACAAGGGCTGTGTTTATTCACATTCAAAAACAGGAATTGCCACGACGTAGTTAAACTGCCCCTCAAGTTAGTCTTTTTCCTTTGGGGTGGAAAGCAAATCAATTTAGCAGTTTCTTGTCTCGATGTAAATTGTCTTTATCTCCCCGTGAATCCCTGTGTGCCGCTGAGTGTCTGAGACTCTGCCTGCTCTTTGTCCGTCCGTCCGCAGGGAGTCTGCCGGAGCCCGTGGTCCAGCAGGAGCACGGCGCCGAGGAGCTGAGCCGGACCCTCCACCTGGAGGAGGTGGTGCAGGAGTCCGCGAGCGAGTGGCAGGCCCTGGCCAATGTGTTCTGACGCGGCCCGTCCCCACCTCGGAGGCCGTTTCTGAAGTTAAATGTTGCGAAGAACGGAGCACTTGGAATTATTTCTGTTTTGAGGCTTCAGGTGTTAAAAATGTTACCACGCTAGTTTTTTAGCTATAAAATTATCTCAAGAATCATTGTCTTCAGAGACTGATAGGAAACAACCGGGAGCAGTGTGAACGTGTCGTTGTCATTTGTCTACAAATCACTGAACTCAGGTACTACACTGGGGCAGTTCTACCTTCCCCTCGGCGGCCAGTGCATCTAGTTACAAAGACGTTAACTGGATCTTACTATCATTGTAGTGTGACCTCTTTGTATTAGCAAAGACCGAAGGTAACGTGGAGAAAGTAAGATAGATTTTCCTTCATGCTTTCTGTTGTAAGAAGCATAGCTCATAAAACAAACATAAAATCGGTGCATGAAGTTCAGAAAAATGTTAGAACACACAGGGAAGTGTTTTCCATTTTCTTTCTCTGTGCATTTTGAAATTAGAAATTGACTCTTTTTAGTCTACCATAAGTTACTAGAATACCTGGAGAGATGGCTGGACCATTCTCTCTGCATTACGATTCTCGAACCATTAGCTACAAGACTGCAGCATCGGGGCATAAATGGGGGAGGGGGGCACAAATGAGGATGAAGGCGTCCTCACAGGGTGGGGCGCGGGGCCGCACTTGCTTCCTAAGTCCACCTTCAGGTCCGTGGGTTAGATGATTGCAGAAAGCACAAGCCATACGTCGCAAGCAGGTGAGAGCAGAACTGTGTCCTCGGAGTAAAGGAACCGTGGCCCCGTCCCGCCCCAGCCACGAAGCGGCGTGTTCGTAGGTTAGAGGTAACATCCCGAACAAGCCCCGTGTTCCTCTCTTCATGCATAGGCAGGTGTGTTGTTTATTTCAGGGAACTCTTTACTATCATCAATGGTGCCACATTGAACACGTCCCAAACCAAATCCCACCCCGAGCCGGGGCAGAGTGTGCGTTGCTCCTACAGCATTCCAAAGACGGAAAGTTCTTTACTTCATGTGAGTTTCTCCTTCAGAATTATTTATATGTTCTATATATAAATACGTATGTACATAGACAGATATATGGGCCTCTGTGTGGCTGAACAGTATATTTTGTAAATAGAAGCACTCGTCCCGATTGCAGAGAGAGCGCGTCAGAGTTCTGACCTCCCCACGAGCACTTCCGATCAGTATTGTATTCATTATAGTAATAAATGGGTATCTTTTTCATTGTAACATAAAGGTGGGGTTGTTTTGCTTTTGTTTTTTTCCTGAAAAATAATTGCCTTTATTTTGTCTCATGGCCTCCCTGGTTTCAGAAGAGAGCAGCTTTATTATAAATATTGTATGGACTTTGTATATTAAGAGAGGAGCTCATTTCAGATTCGTGAAGAGACATTTTCACTGTTATTTTTTCAAAGGGCATCTTTTGATTTTTGTTGTTGTTCACTTTTTGGCATATGTACATAAGTAATATTGATGATATAAAAACTTTTGTTATGTGAAAATATTTAAGTCAGAAAACTGTTAAATAATATTACTTTTTTTTTCAAACCGCTTTGTGTATTGTATATTTTTTTAAGGAAAAAAAAAAAGCCTTATTTGACTTACTCTTGTGATACTGGACCTATTACATATCCTGAGGTTTTCCCTGAATGTCAGTGTGTGGCTGTAGTCCATATATTCCGAATAATTGTAATTGTGCCAGAGTTTTAAAGATTCTGCTTTTAATGCACTTTTCTTTTATAATTTTGTATTAAAATATTTTAGAAATGTTGATTAATTTTGGTGAACAGATATCTCCAAAGTTGAAATTATTGGAATTTAAAAAAAAATTTGTTCTTGCTAGGTTATTTATTTTGGTTGTAGCATTAAATGTCATCTCTCAGGACAAGTCTCTAAAAGGGGTTTATTTAATTCCTAATTGTACAGAAAGCATAGTTCAGTGAACTGTGTTGGTGAACCGCCTGTTTATGTAAGGGTTTACCAGGTGAATCTAAAGCCTACTTTTATTTTCGTCAAAGAAAAAGAAAAAAAGATCTATCAGTGATTCATTTTTTGAGTTTTCTCAATTTATTAACTATTAGCAGGCAAACACAAGACATTAATATATTATTTTTATTTACTTCCTAATTATAAAAGCTGCTTCTTTGCAAAACATTCCTTGAAAATATAAGGTTTTGTAAAGACATAATTTCACTTGAACCTTTGGTGGAGTACAGGTTGATCTTTATATTTTACTGGTTGATAAATGTCTTCTGACGAGATTTCTAGCCTCCTGCATAACCAGGGTTTTGAGAATAGATAACTGTATTTTTAGAAATATCTCATCTTAGCGTATCTGCTTTGGAATAACAATAAATAAAAAATGAAGTTAGGAAGTGTGATTAATTTTTTCTTTTAAAATATTTACTATATAATGGTTTGGCATATGAATTAACTTCAAGTTCAGAGAATTTTTTAACAGAGCAGAACTTTAATGGTGTTTTCCTTTGCCTCCGTGAAGTCCAGACAATGAAAACTAGCCCTTGCAAGGTCTATCTGAAGAGCTTCAAACTTGAAAAGTCAGGATACGGGTCACCGACAGGCACGCTGTCCCTATGAGCTACAAGCCTCGTTCCTGTTCTCAGTCGCCCGCGTGATTGGCCCTCGTGAGCGATGCCCCTCGAACGTTCCCGACTGTCTTTAACCCACTTTTGTGGTGAGCTGCCCGGGAAGCATTCCCGGGAGCTGAGGGGATGAGCTGCCTTTGCACACACACCCAACCTAAAGCCCAGGTAGAGTTCTCGTGATGCTGATGTAGCGGGGGTCTGGGCCACTGGAGAACGCACAAGCCGTCCTGTTTTCCCAGAACGGCGACCGATGACCATAAAAACGTTCTTCAGAAATGTAACGGCAGACGCGCCCACCCTGAGCTCCCCGGTGCCCCCACTGATCCTTTGGCACGTGGACGGGGGTGGACACGGGAGACCCCTCGAGGAGCGGAGGCGCGAGGCCCGTCAGGCTGCTCGTTAGCCTCTGACGAGGTGGTGCCGGCGGCCGGGAGGCTCAGTCCCCGTGAGTGAGTCCTGCTGTTCTGTCGGCTGTCTCTTTCGTCCAAGTGCAGCGCGGCGTCCTGTCCGTAGCTCCATGTGCCGTGCTCCGCTGCGCGCTGCTGCTCGGGAGGGAGTGTGAGTCTGAGCCTCACGAGCATGCCCGGGGTTCTCTGGTCTCTTCTGAACGCTCCGGTCACATTTACGTGCAAGAAATGCATTCGTCAGTACAGGTACCGGATTTTTTTTAAGTGTAAGTAGATCTCTGTTCTTCCCAACGGAGCTTCCTCTCTGCCGAGAAATATGTGTAACTCGTGAAGATACACATTTTTAACATTAAGTGATCACTCAGATCTATGTAAGTAACATCTTTTTAGGAAAATATGTAAGGTATATAGGACTGCTTTCTGGGTATTATTTTTAGAGACCTCTGCTGCCTGCTTTTTGCCTGTTTTTCTTTTCCCAGAAGTTTATTTCAAAGTCAATATTGTGCCCTCCCCACCAACAAAATTAATCTAAGGGTCGATCATTGCTAATCTATTCTTTTTCTCAAATCTATCATATAAAGTGAGGCAGAGATGAAAGTATGTAATTGGCACTTTGTCGTCATCTAGATTTCTTCTCGGTGTTTTGGTTTTTTAGAATAGAATTTCAAAAGTGCTTACATTCACATTTGGGGCCTCTGTATCTTTACCTTATTCTGATAAAAATTAGCATTTTTTTAAAAAGATTCTGTCTATTTATTTGACAGAGACACAGCGAGAGAGGGAGCACAAGCAGGGGGAGTGGGAGAGGGAGAGGGAGAAGCAGGCTTCCCGCCGAGCAGGGAGCCCGATGCGGGGCTCGATCCCAGGACCCTGGGATCATGACCTGAGCCGAAGGCAGACGCGTAACGACTGAGCCACCCAGGCGCCCCCAAAATTAGCATTTTTAAAACCTAGTTGCATCTTTACTGATTAAAAAGTGGGGGCAGGCAGCACTTTTGTAAGGTTAGAAGCCCTGCGTATCTCCAGTTAAGACGTTCTCTTTGCCTGGATAAGGTTTGTAAGCCAACTGTCCTCCTTGTCGCCGTTGACCCGGTGTGAACCGGCCTCCTCCCTGGGGCACGCACACCCACAGATGAGCGCAGGCTCGCGGTCTCAGCCACCCGCCCTTCACAGACCAGCGCCACGGTAGTTTCTCATACAGATGATGAGTAAAGTATTTAAAGTACTGAAAATAAAGATTAAGTGGCAGGAGCAATAGGCAATAATCATAAATGATTTTGCTATTTAATCTTTTTTATGCGTAATGCTTTACGGCATGAAGACTTTTGCATTAAATCAAGATTTGTAATCTATTTGACAGATTCTACAGTGACATAGTGATTCAGTCTCGATTCACCACCAAAGAGAACTTTTAAAATCATTTTTTTTTAATTTACAAGAGAATTCTTTTTTTATCTTCAAAATCGTTTCATGGTCTGTTTATACATTGGATGATATTTCTTTAGTCCAATTTTGTATTAGAAATGGATAGTTATGCCAAAAGCCACCGAGCTGGCTTTAAGAATAATAAAAATAGTTCTTGTATTATTTTAAAACTCCTGTATATTTACTTATTTGGGCTTGGGGTGAGTTATAACTGTTTAAAGATGGATGTTTTCTGTAGGTAACATTTTCGGCAAAGCTTAACCCAAAGCAACGATGCTGAATTTGCAATAAATTGAGATCCATTGGGTTTGAAGAGTGTGAGAATGTCTTACTTTCTATTCTTGGGGATAATTGTCCATTTCCTCTTACTTATAAGTTATTTGAGAGTGACTTGCAATGAAATGAAAACCGATCCCAGTATCAGTGTGTCTGTTCATGAGACATGTGGGACATTGGACTTCCCCAGATAAATACCATTGGAGTTCGTTTATATTATAGTATCTAATCCTCTTTAGAGACATATTTCCAAACTTTTAGAAGTTCAAAATATATGGAATGTTATCCTGTTGAAATAACAAGTGAAGGGTATCTTTTGTCCTTTGTCCACCGTATTCCTAGCACAGAAGAAGGGACGCCATACAATTTTGGACTGAACTAGTTAAAATGATTTGGGTTTTTTTTTTTTTTTTTTTTCCCTGCGCTTTGCTCAGAGGGAATGGTAAGAAATTGTTTCACTATGTCTGTTGCTTGTTTGTAGGAGGAACATTGCTCTAATAACTTTTAAAATATGGTGGGTGGGTTTTCAAACACAATGATCAGATTATGGAAACACTTTCTTTACAGAGGATTGCCTCAACTATTTACAGTGCTTCTCCAGATGGGCTTTTCTGGCCTGCCTGGCTCTCTGATGATGGAAGAGTATTCATGTATAAACGCAAAGGCATGAGTTTGCAAAGCATCCTGTGCACCAGCAAAGCCGAGGGGTAGGGTGATTTGGGACCTCAGGTCAGACCAGCCCTGGCGCTGCTGGCTGTCTGTCGGTGGGCCACTCAGTTAACTTCTCTGGGCCTGTCCCCTTGTCTATGAAATGAGTCGATTAAATCCCTCCCTTCCGTTCGTATTCTCAGCCACTGAGCTGGGATGCTGGGACGCGGCCCTCCATCCGTGTCTCGTGTCTGCATGGCTTGCGAGCAGAGCGCTGTCTGCCTTTGATCCAGGATCTCTTCAAGGCTGTGTGTACAGGACCCGGCCTCGGGAGACAGCATCTTCCTCCAGAGCAAAGCGAGGCTTGTTCACTGACCAGCATAATCACAGTACGTCTCCCTCTGAGGCCAGGTCAGCTTGCTGCCTTTTATAAAAGCTGCGGGTGTCCCTAAGCTCTGGTTCGTCTCCTGCAACCCAACCCTGTGCCGTGGGCATCGCCTGGCCCACTCTGGCTCGCCCTGTGGGACTCAGGATTGGGAATATCCCAGTGCGGTGACTAATAATCCCCTTTGTCAGGACCCTCTGCCAGGGCCCAGGAAGCGGGCTTCTTGGGAGCCGGCGGGTCGGCGGGAAGCTCAGAGGCCTCGGGCTGCCAGCAATACGCTGTCAATTCCCTTTGGAGGCCTCGAAATGCCCCTGGCTCAGCTTACTCTGTGGGTGGGAACTCTATCACGAATGTCAGTGGCTAATTTACTCCACACCATCCACACTGCTGTTCCCATCACAGAGGAGCTCTTATTGTTATAAAGCCTCAAAGCTTTCCAGTCCCTAAGGAAACAGTGAAAAATGAAAAATGTGTCTCCCCGATGCCACGATTCTGGATCAGTCGGGGGAGGTGGTCCCACAGCACTTCGGTATCAGAGCAAAGTGATCCTCGGTTACCCTGGTAACCAAGCTGTGTGGGAAGGAATGCCGACAATTAGCGCAACGCAGCTCATCTGGATGTGACGTCAGCCAACTTCGTCATCGTTGCGGATAAAGAGGGACGACAGCTGGCCGTCTGCACCAAGACCCTGTGCTCGGAACATTCCTGATTCTTTCTGAATTGTCTTCCTCGAGTTTAATAACCCAGCGTCCTTCCCCTTTCCGTGTAACCCTGTGTTTTTGGGGCAGCTTCAGGTTCACATAAAGTCGCAGGAAGAGGGCGCAGAAGGCTTTGTGTACGCTCCACCGGACCCCGTTCAGGCACTGCCCGGGGCGGGCACAGTCACCGCTTCGCTCTAACGGACGCCCTCGTGGCCCGTGGCCCCGTTCCTGTGACGTTCCGGAAAACCACGGGCCAGTCGTGCAGCAGAAGGTCCCGCAGTTTTTCCTCCAGGGTTTCTTCGTGATGCGTCTTGGGTCAGAATCTCGCAGACGTGACGCTATGTTCCGGGTGCGTCTTAAGCAAGGGGACGCGTCGTGTGCGATTGTCCCGTTGCCGGCGGCGCCGATGCGGGCTTTCCTCAGTGTAGTCACTTCTCCTCGAGGCAGTGGGCGTTTGTGCGGGACCAGGAAGCGTGCGGCCATGTGGCCCGGCCACGTGCAGCCCCGGCCTGGCCCCGGGTTTCTGGTCGCTGTTTCTTCCACATTTACTGCCGGCCTTCCTCTGTGAGGAACTCCCTGCTTGGCTCATCCCTGTGTTCGTGTTGGTGCGGACTTGGGGGTTCCTGTCCTGTTGCATGGGCTGCAGGCTGTTGGGCTCCACCCTGATGCCCAGATAGCCCCAGATCTGACCAGTGCAGGCCCCTTGAGGCTGTGCGAGCCCCTGTGACGCGGCCACGTTGTTTTTGGAGCCCGTTCCCGCTGCTGGTGCAGCAGATCGCGCTCTTTCTGTGTCTCCGGCCCGGAGCCAGCCGTTTTCCCGAGGAGCCCTGGTTCCCCTTCGTGGAGAGCAGTACCCAGAAGCCAAGACCCACGCGGGAGTCAGAGCGGGGACGTGCGGGGGGAGGGCGCGCTCACGCCTGCTGGCCGGGGCCCGTCACCCACGCTCCGGTCCTCCCGCGTCCCCGCTGCTCCGGCCCCAGCCGGGGTCTGCCCTCGTCGAAGACCGGCCCCAGCCGCACCTGCCCTCCTGGCGCAGGAAAGGACAGAGCTGCCTGTTAGAATAGCCACGGTCACCACGGAGCATTGTGGGGCCCCTGCTTTGTCCGCTGCCCTCGCCATAGCCTGGACTTGCTCCTCTCTCTGCCGTCTGCTTGCCAAGTTATGTGCCCGAGGAGACGAGGATGCTCCGGGCCCAACTCTGCGGCCGTGGCTTTCATTATCTGAGTCGCTTCTGCCGCGTTCGTGGTCAGGCAGGCAGGCAGGTGGCTCGCCTCTGGAGGCTGGGGCGAGTCCTCAAGGGGCAAACACCCCCGGGTGCCTTTTCAGAAAGCAGATTCTGTTTGTTTGTTTTTTTTTTTAAGATTTTATTTATTTATTTGACAGAGAGAGAGATAGCGAGAGCAGCACATGAGAGGGGGGAGGGTCAGAGGGAGAAGCAGACTCCCCGCCGAGCAGGGAGCCCGATGTGGGACTCGATCCCGGGACTCCAGGATCATGACCTGAGCCGAAGGCAGTCGCTTAACCGACTGAGCCACCCAGGCGCCCCCAGAAAGCAGATTCTGATCCAGGAGGTGTGGGCGGGGGCCCAGGACGGCTGGCTAACCGTTCCCAGGGGTGCACAGACCCAGGCCCAGCTGGCGTGGGGACGCATCCCTGTCCCACCAGACCCCTGGTGTGTGTCCGCCCTCGGCAGCCACGGGAGCCCGTTGCCTGTCCCTGTGTCTACACTTGGGTCTGGATCTGCCCTCATTGACTTAAGTCGGAGGCTGGCACTGGACTGGGCTGGGAGCCCCCTGGCCAGCACTGGACGTGGTCGCCATCTTACTGGCTCACTTGGGTCTTGACCCGTTAATGCATTCCAGGTGCCATTGGAATCCAGCGCTAACCTCACGTCGTCCCACAGGGTGGGAAGCGGAGGTGAGAAGCCCTCACTCTGCCACCAACGTAAGAGTGGACTCGGAGCCTGCTCACGGAACCCACATGTTTCTCGGAAAGTAGGCCATGGACGACCTCCCGTGGTTCCACTCCCACTTCAAGGATGGCTGTTCCGTGGGTTACGTTGGCGCCCGATGGCTCACCTGGGACACGGACTTCATGAACTGCGCGTGGCCAACTGCCTCCGTGCCCCCTCGTTGCGGACCGCGGTGACTACTTACAGCAGAGAAATCAGGAGAGGAAATGGGCTATCAGCGCTCTGGGAAAGGGGAGGAGAGTGGCTTCCTGCGCCGGCCTGGGCTAGGTTCCAGCACCGGGCCAGATGGGGGCGCAGGAAGGAGCGTTCCCGCGTGAGAAGGATACACAGCTCTGTCCTGGGAGGCGCGCCCGCCCTGCTTGGCCCCGCGCCCCGGCCCTCACTCCCCACCGGACTGTATCTGGAGGCAGGACGCCGGGGAGCAATCCCGCGGCACACGAGGCCGCGGGGTGAGGTCCTCGGGAGAGGAGGTGCCAGGCATGAGGCACACGGAGGGAAGGGTGCATGAGGCACGCGAGGAGCCGAGGAGCTGCGCCCCGGCCTCGGACCCGGCGGCCCGGCGGGGAGCTGCGTGCCCGGAATCGGAGCTCCTCGCCCCGGCACGGCCTTCCGGGCCCCCCAACAGCACCACCTATCCATGAGTCGGCAGCTGAGCTCCTGTCCTTCATTCCACCCGAGAACTGTCCCCACGGTCCCGTGCCTCTCCCCACAACCCCAAGCCCAGGGGGAGCCCCACCCCAACTTACAGAGCTGGCGTGCCCTGTGGCACCTCGTCTCCCGACGCAGCGTCCTCTCCACGCCCCGCTAACCCAGCCCCGGGTCTGCGCCCTCCAGCAGACCCTCTGTCCTCCGACCTGTCTGCTCTGCCCACGGCATCCACCCGTCTGGGGGCTCACGGTCCGCCACCAGCCACACAGGCCTAGAGCCCCGACGGCGGTGACTCACGATCCCCGGGTCCCCGTCTACACTGAATGGCGTGGGGGCCGGAGACGGTGGTCGCGTGGCTCTCTGCTGTGATGGGGAGTCCCTCCTGTGCCTCCCCTGCCCCTCGTGACACCTCTGGGCTCTGCTTGGGGCTGGGGTTCCCGAAGCCCCTTCTCGAGTGTGGTGCCCGACCTCCTAGGTAAGCGTTCAGCGAGAACATGCGTTCCGAGGTTCAGCTCCTGTTCTGTCTTGTTTTACTTTGAAATATGTACCCGGGTGTTGAGTTACCGTGAGAGCTGCTGTGTTACTCTAGGTTTACCCTTGGTTTACCGTTTCATGTGCGTCCTGTACATGTAACATTAAAAGAGACCTGCCAACTAAAAGACTATTTTAAAAATGTGACTCTCTGGGCCCCTGGGTGGCTCAGTCAGTGAAGTGTCTGCCTTCGGCTCAGGTGGTGATCTCAGGGTCCCAGGATCGAGCCCCACATCGGGCTCCGTGCTCAGCGGGGAGCCTGCTTCTTCCTCTGCCTCTCCCCCTGCTTGTGCTAGCTCTCTCTCTCTGACAAGAAGAAAGAAAGAAAAGAAAGAAGAAAGAAAATCTTTAAAAAAAAATGTGACTCTCTGTGCATGATTTTCCAGATTCATTGGTTGAAGGGTTTGGGGGGCAAAGAGGAGGGGAGGGGCTGGTGCCCGGCGAGCAGGGCAGGCTCCCTTGGCGTCGGCATTGGGGTGGATGCACACAACACAGGTCTGGGGGCCCCAGACAATAGGCTCGTGTCATCCCAGGACCGTCCCAGCACGGAGGCTGCCCTCCTTTACGCTCACAAGGGCAGACGGTCTCTCACGGCTGCTGCCGAGACGGAAGGGAACCAGGACTTTAGTTAAAAGCAAGACAAAACAAAGATTCCGGCTTATCTTTTTGAAACCGAATTCTTGTAACCGCGAACAATGACACACACAGAATTTCCCAAATCCCCCATTATTGTCGATGTCTTAGTGTGGCAAAAGGTAGTTTCCCAGAGTTTCTTCAGCTCACGTTAACAGGTGTTTGGTTAAGGTAATAGATTGTTGGAAGATAAGTTGAAAATTCTCCTGTGAGTTAGCGGATCCGTGCCCTAACCGTGACCTGTGTTCCATCCTCTCTTACTAATGCGGAGGCCCCCGGGGGTAACGCACCTGCTTGGCCAGCGTGGGCCGGCGGCCAGGCCGCGAAGGCACAGCCCACACCTGCATCACCCCCAAGACACGGCCTTTACCTTTGCTCTGCTGGGGCTCACGTTCTGCAGCCCAGAGCAAAGATAAAAGAAGACACCATGCAAGTATCATTAAAAGTTTATTATTTTATTTCGATATTCAAGAACAGTGTGTACTTCCCACGAGCGCCCATCTCAGCGCACGCCGTCTGGGCGTAGCCCCGCGTGGAGATCACTCGGCCAGCGGTCGGCTCAGAGATGTAGAGTGTGTGTGTGTCACGCAGTTTGGAGGTTTTGTTTCTGAAATTTTGTTCCTTGTTCCCCTGTAACCCTCTCATCATTGAGGCTATAGATTAATAGACATTATATTAAACCCCCACCGGACATCGGAATTAGGACGGGATTATGTTGACACGTTGACTATTCCTCGTGTTCCTTCTAAGGGAGGACGATGCCAGTGGGGGCTCCTTGGAAGGCCTCTAAGACATACGCTAAAACCAAAAGGCGGGATCAGTATGTTACGAGGGGGGCACAGGAAAGGTCAGCTCGTTAGAAAAGACACGATTCAGAGGAGCCCATCTCTGCTCACAGGGCCGGCCAGGCCCGGCCCCCATGACGTCCAGCTCAGCGATTCGGGAAGCGGGCCCTCCGAAGCCTATTCGCTACGCGTGTCCGCGTCTAGGATGCAAGCGGACGGAAGGTTATCTGTCCACCGAGGGTTAGTATTGCAGTGTGCACTGCCGTGGGAAGCGCACCGCTGGTCACCTCCCGCAGCGACCAGGGTGACGCCGTGAGGCCACCCAGAACACTCCTCCAGTCCCGCTCTGAGACGAGCGTCTCCCCGGACCTCTGCTGGGCTCTGGGGGAACAGGCTGTTGGCAGAAGCCACTCTGGCTCCCGCTGTACCTCACCTCATTTCCAAGAAGATCCTGTTTCCTGTTGGGGCCGTGGCCCAGCCCAGCCTTGCCTCCCGGTCCCCTCTCCGCCGCGCCCGAATTCCGCTAACCGCGTGGGGTGGGCCGCCGCCTGCAGGCGCCCCCTCCGCGCCCACCCCACGGGACTCTTCACCGCTGCCCGCCCGCACTTCACGTACCGAAAGCCCCCCGTGCCGCTCCCGACTGCCTCATCCTGGAGGGAGAGTAAGTGTGTGTTAGGAGGTGAGCAAGGGGCGGGGAAAGCAACCAAAGGAAGCTCGGATCAACAGTCCTCACCGCCCTGCACATGTCCCTGTGTCCACGGCAGCGTCCCCACGGCAGTGCCTGCGAAGCCGAGGGATGCCGGGTCAGCAAAGCAAGTCCAAGGAGGGAGGAGGGTGAACTCGGAGGTGTGTCCGCGCACCAGCGCCCGGTGACTCGGGCCGCGCCGCGGTGGAGGGAGCTCCGAGGACGCGCTCTCTTCAGACACCAAGTAACTGCTTAATATTCTGTCTGCGTTCCCTCCATTTAGCTGATGGCCAGAAGCTGCAGCAGGTGCGGCGTGCCTGACCCCACCATGTGCACAACTCAACGGGCATTAGGCGGGAGGGTGTTTGCTGCAAGTAGGGAGTGGATGTGGACGGTATTAAAATCTTAAGGCAGTTATATTAAGAAGCTGAGGACAGGTTTCTGGGACCACAAGGTAGGGCTTCAGCGTCTCGCCATGGGTGATCCAGAACGACTATCTCTTCCTCCCTGAGGAAAGGAAACACAGAGTTAGGAGACGTGCACGGGCAGCCTTGGCATCCGCAGCATCTGACCTCGCGCCAGGATCCCGCCTGTGGGGCCGCTGGTGCAAACCACCTCATTTGGGTCTGCTGAGGCTCTGATTCCATTTCTCACAACACGAGCAAGTGCTGATCCAGTTTTCAGGGACCCTCGGGGAGGCTCGCGGACCCTCATTCCCAGGACCCACATCTCGCGCTGCCCTTCTGGGGGCGGAACGCTCAGCTGCCGCGAAGGGGTACTTTGTTTCTAGAGATTCCAGGGTCACAGAGGGAAACCGTCTACACACGACGACAGGGACAGCTTCATCTTTGGGGAGATGGTGGTGCTGGGGAGCACGGCCACCGCCATGTCGCCCGGGCAAGAGCCGAGCTGCACAACGCTGTCCCCGGGGACAGTCCTCTCTGGCTGAGCGGACGAGCTGGCCCCACTAGGAGTAGGTCGGCCTGAAGCCGTGTCTGGGGGAGGGGAGGAATGGGACCTGCGGGGAAGTCCTGCATTCCGTCCCCAGTTCCGCACCTGGCTGGGAAACTGTCTCCGCTGTGCATCTGGAAATGAGAAACTCTGATAAGAGCTCGATGCAGTTCCCTAATGACTGGGAGAAATGCAGGGCTCTTCACCCAGTTTCCAGCCCACAGGGACGGACAGTCCGGGGTAATGGCGCCCCCTTAAATCCCGGGAGACCCACCGTCCCCACCCACCTCCTTGGAACCCTTCTCGCCTCTGCGGGGATTGTTCCCCAATGATGGTAACCACATCTGCGGACTCATTCAGCCCTATGCCCGTGGTCGGCCAGTTCGTGAACATTTCATGTAGTAAAACCTAATGAAAGCCATATTAATTGGATTTGATAAATCGGAGCTTCCCTTGAACTCTATAGAAGCTTTAAAATTTCTAAACCACTTTGTACAAACAGAAATGCAGGAAAACATTGAACCCATTACAAACAAATGGTGCTCACACGCTTGTGTTCGTCCCACACGATGAACGTGCTGGACAGGGACGGGGCTGGCCAGCCCGACCTGCAAGCATCTCACCCTGGCTGGGGCCAGGCTTGCATGTGCGACCCAGGCACAGAGACACAGTCCCCAGAGTCACCCCGTCAGCAGGGAAATCCTTACCACTGCACACCTCTGGGTTCCCACCTGGGACGCTCGGGGGCATGGAGACTCAGGGGGAGCCCAGAAACGGTCTGGGACATCGCAGCTGGGTCAGATGCGGGCGCCCGCCTGGCCAGGTTCTGGGCCACTCGTGGAAACATCACTATTCTGAATGCACTGGCTGGGTTTGGACCCAGAGCTCCTACAGGTTCCTCATCCTCACCGTCTCGTTGCCACGGTGCAGAACTGGGCAGACACATCATGATGACCTCGGTTACTTGAATGTGCGGGTAGAATTTGATTCCCCCTTACTCAGATTTGCTTTAGAATTTCCACTGAGGAGAGGGTCACGCCTGCTTTTGACCAGACATGAAACGAGTCAGCACGCCTGTTGATTACCATTCACTTCACAGATTTAAGCCCTTTCCTGGATAGGACTGACCTTCCTCAAAAGCACAGTCCTGCCTCCCCTCCCCTCTGTGTGGGCCCAGCAACCACTGAATCTGGGCTCGTGGCAGGGGCCCCCACACACATGTGCTCACTGAGCCGACCCTGCCAGTAACCCGACCATGGGACACACCACACACATGACCCCATGATGACTATTTGGGTTACAGACCAAATTATTCCACCATAAACTGTGAAACCTTGATGTGTTAGTAAGCCAGTTAGAAAGCACACTCACCCAGGTTCAAGACCTCCTATCAAGGTGATTGGGGCGGAGCCTTGTGCGGGGCTGGCCGAGGCTGAGCCCGAGCCCGGGGTGAGCTGGATCCTGCCGGAGGCCCGGGTCCTGCCTTTCAGCTGCCCGATCTCTGGGGCGATACCTCCAAGCCACGCACAGCAGAGCCTTTTAGTGTCAAATCAAGTTGCCTACTGTGACCCCAACCGGTGGTCTGAGGGCAGGTGGAGCGAAGCGGACGCTCCTGTTCTCATCCATGACCAGAAACCCCTAGAACATTCAGTTTCCATGGAAACGCATGCCTCCCCCCAAATGTGCCCGCCGGCCTGAAGACACAAGATGACGAAGCTTTCGCGTGGAGTAGGAATCCACGATGTGTTTGTCTGTGGCGCCCGGACACTTGCCGATGGACACGGCGGGGCAGGGTGCACGGCATGCCGTCTGGGAACTAAGCCCAGACTAACGTCCCCTCTTACTTGGGCGTCTCATCTTCCTTTGTCTATGGCGACGCCAATCCCTCACCCGAGAAGGATAAACATGAAATCCTTCAGGAGTTATTTTTCTCTCGACAGGGTGCTGTGAGCATCCTGGGGCTTTTTGCCTTTTCTGATGCCTTTCCTGCCGTAACCCACAAACCCTGCCTTTTACATGCTGCCATCCATCTTCCTGATTACGGTTCATTAGGTTGGAACGGGAGCTGACTGGAGCACCTTGCAAATCATCGTGGCTCTGGCTTAGAATCGGCTCTCACACCAAGAAGCCAAGAAGCGGATGGCCTCGGGCGGATTCAGAGTCACAAGAACAGCTGCTCGCTCGGCTGTTACTCTAACGAGAAAGTACATGGGAACGTGGACCCAGACAATGGTGCTCCCTGGCCGTGTGCCTGTGTGAGCACCTGTCCAGAGATGAACTGTGATCCCTCGAGCCGTAAGTCAGCCTGGGGACTGTCCTGGACTGTGCAGAAGGTGCCACGTGTCCCCGCTGGGGTGGGCGCATCCCTGTCCCTGATCCCCTTCCGGCTGTGAGCCCTGAAGTCTGGGCTGTTGCTGGGACCTCGGCTCTGCTGCCAAGCCCTGGATGGGGGGCTGAGAAAGCCCAGCCCCATTTTGACGCACTGCTGGGCTTTCAGTGTGAACACCTAAGTTGTTGGGTGTCATGGGACCTGGGTGACAAAGCCCTCAGGAGGGCCACAGGGGCCCCCTGTGTGGGGAGCCTCTCTTGCCGGTGGCACTCATTTCAACCATGTCTGTCCCCCACCGCGAGAACATGCTCTTGACACGCTCCCCTCCCCGAAAAGCACGCAGTGATGCTCAGCAAGCACCTGCCAGGGTAACGAGTATGATGGCAGATGGACAGGGCTCCTGGGCAGCCTCTGGCCCCTGACCGTGGGCATGGCCAGCCTGGGCTCACAGCCGCGGGGGAGCAGACCTGTCACTGTGTTCTTCGGAGACCTCTGCCCACGGGGACAGCGGCTGCTTATGGGTCGGCCCTGTGCCCGAGGCTCTCGGGCGTCCTGCGTCCAGGCAGTTACAGGCTGCGGACGGCGCCTACCCCGGAGCTGTGGGTGAGCCCTGGAATTGTGAGCTCCGGGGCCCACGAGAGGGTCCGGGAATGAACGGAGGCCAAACAGCCCCCTCCCCATGCTGGGAAACTGATCTTGGGATTGATCAGAGCCAAGAATGGGCTGCGGTGGGGCTCTCTGAGACTTGGCAGCATCCAGGCCCCTCGGCATCTTCTCACGCCCCTTCCAGCTGCCCTAAGAGAGGCCCCAGGACCAGTGACTCCAGTGTGCGTATCAGGCAACCCCCGTGTGGCCCCTGGGATCTCTGCCTGCCTGACCAGCGATCTCCCCCTTTTGTCACTCAGCTCCTGTTCCTTTTCTCAGGAGTCCGCAGCCTCGGCACTGGGAGCTTCCAGATGAGGTCGGCGCCCACGCCACCCCCGCCTCCCCAGAGCAGGGGGGAGCCTTGCGAGGGACCCCTCACATGTCCTCGAGGTCCCCGAGGGAGCCTGAACCGGCCCCTGCAGATACGTCCTGGCCCCTGAGCCAGCCAGCCTGGCAGGTGAACCCCAGAGGGACAGTGTGGAAAGCCTGGAACACCCCCGCCACCCCCCCAGCACGTCCCTGGCATTGAGAAGGGTCACCTTACCAGTTTGAAGATTTTGGAAAGCGTGCCCTGGGCGTCATGGGCCCCCTTGAGTCCCTTGTGAGCTGGAGCTCTGCCTCCGTAGCCAAGTCCCGGCTTCTGCCCCTCGGCTCCCTGCAAGAGACCAGACAGCTCTCAGGGGGCCTGCGGGGCAGGGAGGGGCCCTGGGGGGGGCGCCAGCGGAGCCAGGGCCGTGCTCCACGCCGCAGTGGGGGCCCAGCCCAGGCTGCCGTGCGTGGGCAGACGTGTGCCCAAATGCTCTCACGGAAAGATCAGACTCCTGACCCACTCCACCGTGTGGCTTTCAAGACAAGAGTGGCAAGGTCCAGCAAAACCAGGTGACCCGCCTTTGCCCACCTGTGTGCAGGAAGGGAGTGCAGGGCCTGCTCTCAGCCCCAGGAGGCACTCCCCTCCTGGGCTGGGGGGTCCCTGTCTGCTTCTCTGTGCAGACTCCTCACATCTGCCCCCTTCTGCTGGACGTCTGGAGGATATGGAGCTTGGCACTTAGCAAAATTTTGAGGCCCATACTTTTCTAAAGCAGAAAGACAAGCTTCAAATTCTCTGGCCTGGATGAGGCTCTCGCCAGGATGACCAGAAACCAGCTCCCCTGGCCACGGCTTGGGTGCCCTGACAGTGGGTGTGTGGCCCCTGCTGGGGGTCCCGGGATCTGGGCTGGTCATGAAGGAGGGAGGGGGCAGGTCCGGCCAGCAAGTCGTGTCCCTGCCGCCGCGCACCAGGGCACAGCCCCGGGCACCCAGCGGCCTGCACGGAGCCCTAGCTCTCCACTCCCTAGCTGTGTGGCCTCGGGCAAGCGTCAGGGCCACTCAGACCCTCAGTTTCCTCTTCTATAAAACGCAGATAAAGCAGCCTCTCCTTCCGGGAGTTCACGGATGTGCTGCTCTGTGAACAGGGCCTGTGGGCTCCTGGCACGTGCTTGCTGTCGTTCCAGGAGAGGCCAAGCCCGGCTCCCCGCGCCAGGGCCCCCCTCGCGCTGGAGGGAGGACCTTCCCTGCGAGGCACAGAGCAATGGCGGCTGACTGCTGACGGGTGAGGACATCCGCGTCCCAGGACTAGTCTTTTTTTGAAGATGCTTTACTTTCAAACGGCAACATCCCCCGTGGACACGAGGAAGGAGTCGGGGGGCTCGGGCAGACACAGGGAGGTTAGCGTTTGCGGGATGGGGCCCTCCAGCCTCGGGCACCACGTCACGCGGGCGCCAAGCAGGCCGGGGGGGCTCAGGTAAGGTCGCTGTCTGGCCTGCAGGTCTGTCTTCATTGGACAGGGTCTGAGCTTTCAGATTCTGCCAGCAGGACGGGGAGACTCTCTATGGTCTGCTCCTAACAATCTAGTCAAGGAAATGACCCGCCCTCTGGTGGAGCCCCAGGTCCCTCTGCCTCCACCCACAGGCCTTGCAGCGTGCACACACATGGGCTGGAGGGCCCGGAATCCACGCAGGGAATCCCTCTATCCTAGCGGTGTCAGGGAGGGATTGGGGGGCGGGTGCAGCAGGTGGAGGGCGGGCAGCCCTGGGGTCCAGAGGTTTCCATGGCTGCGCTCGCTCCGGGACATCCCACGGAGGGACAGGTCATGGCTCAGTGTGCAGGTGCCCCACGGAGCCTCACAGACCAGGGCTAAATCCTCCTGTGTCTTGCTTTCCTCCAGAACTAGGAGCTTCTGAGAACAAAACTCAAGGGTAGGTTTTCAGATTAAATAATCTGCTTGACTTTTCCTCCTTTCAAATTCTTGGTCACTTCTATCTTTGGGCAACCTGGAATTTACCAAGAAGTGTTCAACAGAGTTTAGAAGAAGAATGGGCGACTTTCACAAACTCCAAGCAGGAAGGCAGTCCTGTAGCTCGAGGAAATGGACACACAGGCAAATGAAATACGGAGGGGGATTTTGCTTTGGAAAAGAAAGAGAAACTGAGTAAAGATTAGTAGCCCCAAAATGGAGGCGTGGAGGGAAGGCAAGGTCTTTCTGGTTAGCTGCTGGGTGAAGCGGGCTCTAAATGCCCGGAGGGAGGAAGGGCCTCCTCCCCCACCCCGCACGTCCCCCGGTGACTCCGCATCATGCCCGAGAGTCCATGCCTAGAAAGTGAGGAGGCAGACCAAGGGGTTACCAAAACAAGACTTCCTTCTGCAGTGTCATCTGGGTCTCCTGCTGGCACAGAAAGTCAGAAATTAACTGGCTGCGAGGCCCAGCCCACGTGTTTCCTACCCTCTTGGCCCCTTTATGCAAAGTCATCAGCTTTGGAAAAGGCTCAGATATATTTGTATAAAGTGTTCCAGCAAATTCCATGTAAGAACGTGCTGGGGCAATCCAGGAACCTTATGGAACCCTCTACCTTCTCCATGGGCCTCCCCTCCTCGTGCCTCTCCCCCTCACTGTTCTCGCTTCCCTCCTTCCTTCTCTGTCTTTTTTGTAAACTCTAGTCATCCACGTGTGTGATGCTTATTAACTGAGCACCAAGTATATGCACGCTCTGCACTAGGGACTCGGGCTGTGTTTCCAGGCCAGACGGGGTCCCTGGCCTATAGGTGAGTGGTTACTTTTCCGTTTATTCTGCAGATGGCAGCTTTGGTAAAGTAAGAACTCTGGCCTTTACTACTAACCGAAGTCTATAGGTTTGGTTAGAAAACACCGATAGGCATTTTAGGCTGGCTCAGACACCACATTTCACCGGTGTCTAGAAAGTGAGCAAGGTGGCCATTTACAATCGGGATGGGCACCTTGTTCTCGGCCTTCCTCAGAGGACGTCCCTGGATGGCTGACGGCTAAGCTATGCCGCGATCAGACCCCAGGTCTCGTGGCTTCATTGGACCGCGTGGCCGGAGGCGGCATCGCGTTTCCTCAGCCTCCTGTCAGTCGGGCGGCAGAGCTGGCTATTTGGATGGCCTGCCGGCCCCGGCCTCCCTGGGCCTGTCCTGCGGGGACTGGTGTCCCACTCCTCGGGCTGGAAGGAAGTCAGGAACTTTCTCAGGTGCAGAGCTGCTCCTTCCCGGGAGGCGCCCGGTCGGGCGAGGAAGCAGGGCCCTGCGGGGTCGGCGGTGGGGGCCCTGGGTTCCCCCCGGGGGGGGAAGGCGGCCCCCCAACGGCGTGGGCAATGGGCCTGCCAGGGAAGAAGGGGGCCCGTGAGGCAGCTTCCCGGAGCAGAGCGCAGGCGCGGGCAGCTGTGAGGAGCAGAAGGGAGAGGGAGGTGCGGGGACACGCGAGTGTCACCTACCCAGCTAAATCTGCTGAGGGACAGTCCTCGCCCCTGTGTGGGAGAGAGAGAAACAATGACATTGTGATCCAGGCAGGAAAAAAAGTCTTTTAATAAACAAGAAACACAAATCGGGGCCGTGCTGAGCTGGTGAGTGGTGTTGACCCCTGCGGGATCCCAGGGGCGGCTCAGGGTGGATTTCGGAAGGATTTGGGACAGGGTGGAGGGGGAGCGAGCTGGGAGCCGGCAGCAGTCTCTGCTGGGCGTGTTCCTTCCTCAGCCTGTGCTGCTTGGGATCCACGGGGCACACATTTGGGGTGATGTCAGGTAGCTGTGAGGCCCGCCCTCTCTTTGGTCCATTTGGGGATTTCAGGGAAGGTCTACAGACGGCGTGAGAATTAAGGACAACGTTCAGAGGTCTTACCTTTCCTTGCGATGGAGGAGGTGTGCGTGGTGTCACCTGCAAAGACACGCAGAGGCCTGTGAGCGGGGGCGGGCGCCTCTCTCCCCGGGGAGCCTCCTGCCCTCACCTTCCTGCTCCTGACCAGCCCCCGTTGGGCTGGCAGCCCGGCGCCTCCGAAGTCACCCCTCTCTGCCTCCCGGTTCCTGTCCTGGTTCTCGGAGACTACGGGGCCTGAGACGCCAATGCCAGGCAGAGTTTCCAGAACACTCAGCCCTCAGGGAAGAGGGGCACGATTCGTCCCGCTGTGGTTCCTGGGTGCGCGGGCTGTGAGGGCGAAGCTCGCTTTGCTAAGGGCCTTGCTTCTCGGGTGGAGGTGAAGCGTCCCCTGTACTCAGAGCTTCGAGAGGAGTGTTCTCGGGCCTGGGGCTCCCAACACTCACTTGTCAACATGCAGAAGACCCTCTTAAAATGCCCGCTACACAAAAAGCTTAGGATTAGAAGCTCGTGGCTTTGCTTTTGTTTTTCAATCTTTATTTTTGAGGGAAGTCTTAAGTTTCTAGAAAGAATGCATAGAAATTAGAGAGTTGCCACGTCCGCCCTCTTGTCCTGCTCACTGTTTCCCCATTTATTACGGCCTCGCATGCGCGTGGCTCGTGTGTTATGAGCCGGGAACCAAGGCCGATGCACTTCTTTTCAGGGAATCGTAGCACATGGTAAGGTCACGCTCATGGTGTACGTTCTGTGGGTTTGCACAAATGTGCGATGTCAGGCGTCCACCAGCTCCGTATCACACAGTGGACCCATGGCCCCCAAGCCTTCTGTGCTCCCCCTGTTCCCCTCCCTGCCCACAAACTCTGATAACCACTCCTCTTGGCATCTCTTTAATCTTTTTGTCTCCATAGTTTTGCAAAGCCTGTGTTTTTAAACTAAGAGTCTCATAGTCCTTTAGTCTCAAAAGGAGTGAGTTCTTTTCTAGAACATAAGATTCAGTAAGTGGCAGATGCAGTTTGGACCTTGTGACCAGGTTCTAGGGCTGAGCTCCCATGGCCAACCTCACCCTGAGGAGGAGGGAGGCATCATCGGGGATAGACTCACGTCCCTTGTGGATTAGAGCTCAGGGTCACCTGGGGATAGAGTCAGGCCCCTCGGATTAGAGCTCAGGGTCACCTGGGGATAGACTCAGACCCCCCCATGGATTAGAGCTCAGGGTCATCTGGGATAGACTCAGGCACCCCATGGATTAGAGCTCAGGGTCACCTGGGGATAGAGTCAGGCCCCTCATGGATTAGAGCTCAGGGTCACCTGGGGATAGACTCAGGCACCCCATGGATTAGAGCTCAGGGTCACCTGGGGATAGAGTCAGGCCCCCCATGGATTAGAGCTCAGGGTCACCTGGGGATAGAGTCAGGCCCCTCATGGATTAGAGCTCAGGGTCATCTAGGGATAGACTCAGACCCCCCATGGATTAGAGCTCAGGGTCACCTGGGGATAGACTCAGACCCCCCATGGATTAGAGCTCAGGGTCACCTGGGGATAGACTCAGACCCCCCCATGGATTAGAGGCTCAGGGTCATCTGGGGATAGACTCAGGCCCCCCATGGATTAGAGCTCAGGGTCACCTGGGGATAGAGTCAGGCCCCTCCTGGATTAGAGCTCAGGGTCATCTAGGGATAGACTCAGGACGCTTTGGATTAGAGCTCAGGGTCATCTGGGCATATACTCAGGCCCCCCATGGATTAGAGTTCAGGGTCATCTAGGGATGTACTGAGATCCCCATGGATTAGAGCTCAGGGTCACCTGGGGATAGACTCAGACCCCCCCATGGATTAGAGCTCAGGGTCATCTGGGATAGACTCCGGCACTCCATGGATTAGAGCTCAGGGTCACCTGGGGATAGACTCAGGAACCGCATGGATTAGCGCTCAGGGTCATCTGGATATATACACAAACCCCTCATGATTAGAGCTCAGGATTATCTGGGGATATACTTAGGTGCCCCATGGATTAGAGCTCAGGATCATCTGGGGATATACTTAGGCGCCCCATGGATTAGAGTTCAGGGTCATCTGGGGATATACTCAAACCCCTCATGATTAGAGCTCAGGATCATCTGGGGATATACTTAGGTGCCCCATGGATTAGAGCTCAGGATCATCTGGGGATAGACCCAGGTCCCCTCATGATTAGAATCAGTGTCATCTGGGGATATACTCAAACCCCTCATGATTAGAGCTCAGGGTCATCTGGGGCAGACTCAGGTCCCCTGTGGATGAGGCCGTGGCCAGGCACCTGCTGCCCCCTGCAATCTCGATTCTCCCGGCAGCCTGCCGCTCACAGTGGGATGGGAGCACTTACAATGTTCTTGAAGAAGTGCACTACAGGGTTTTCATCTTGGGGCCGGCCGTGCTGCGACTTCTGGGGCAGGGAGCCGTAGTGGGTAGTTCTCGCTGCGTGATGTCCATCCTGAAAGAGAGGGCGCGCTGAGCTCAGGTTGGGTCCCACCCTCTGCTCTGCCGCCCTGGGAGAGCTGCCTCTCTTCTCTCCTGGGGATGCATCTCTGGGATCAGGACCTTATACTGAGGCACAGCTGCTGTGACCCAGGACACTCCTGGGGCTGGCAGGGGACTTCAGGCAGCATGTCTGGATGTGCCCGAAGCATCTCCACCATGCACCCAACGTTGGGGCCCCCAAAGTCACAGCACAGGGCAAGGGAGGGGAATGTAAGGGGGAGTCTGCTGGAGACGGGCGCAGGGTAAGTAAGCCGTACGAGAAAGCTACCACTTCCCTGAGCTTCTGCTGTGGATAAAGGAGAATACTCGGGAATTAACGGCAAAAAAACCCCACCATGAGCTTTGAAGGCGTTGCATCACGTGAACGAAGCTCCATTTCTTAAAATCAGCGTCCCAGCTCACAGTGCAGGCCCTGGCCCAGTTTGGGAAGACCTCTTCCAGATCTTGAGCAGCGGGAGGGCTGTGGGGAACAGTGCCCAGCTCTTCCCAGCTCAGGAAGTGCTTCAGAGAGGACAGGGAATGTGCGGCGGGGAGCGATGTCCACAGCTCAGCAGCCTCCACGCACCCCTCCACCATGGGCTGAGTGCCGCCTGCGCACAGAGCGCTTGGGGAGGCGAGCTTGCAGAGCTGACCCCGGGGCTCTCCTGCTCACCCAGTGACATGCACAGGGAAGAACATGAGGGGGAACTTCCCAGGGGCATTTCCGTTACACGTGCTGAGGTCCCTGGAGGTGCTCCCTTCCCTCATCAGCTTTGTGCTTGCTGTGTGAGATGAAGCCCTTCTTCAGAAGACACTTTGCCTCCACGGAGTCCAAAGCGTGCGTCTCCAGAATTTAAGGCCTTTGGTGGGCCTCATCTAACCGGTGGCCGCAGTACCCCGAGGGGGCTTGGTTGCAGTGACAGGTGCACTGCGTCCGGCACCCACCGGCTGGGGACATGTCGGGCTGTCCCCAGATGCCCGCTTTCCTGCCTCAGAACCCCGGGGTCTGAAACCCAGCGGTCACCCTTGCCTCCGGGAGCGCATCTGGTCTTTCTCGAACACATCCTTGCATCCGTTCCCCTCCCCACTACTGACGGACGATAAAATAAAAGCTGGCGGAGCTCCTCTGATCCTTCCCTTGCCAGCGCAGACACATCGGCAAACCCGGCGGTCCTCTCCCCCCTTCCCTCCCGACCACCCCCTGCTTCCGCTTCACCACACAGAGCACCTTCTCTCTGGCTGGAGGGCCGCTGCGAACCCACTCCGCTCGGCATGCAGGTGTGCGCTACCTCCTGAGCGCTGGTCTTTGCTCTGATGGCCCGCCACCTCACTGGGCTGTGCACAAGGTCACCCGGGCCCCACCAGTTCCCTGGGATGTTCCGTGCCCGGCTCACCCTTCAAGCGCCACGACCTGCCCACTCCCGGTGCTAAGCTAAGCAGGCCCCCCTGACGGACTTCTCTGCCCCCCGTGCCGCCCCAGCCCCGGCAGGCCCCGGTCCTTTAGACCTCCAGCACCCGCCAGCCTATTGGCCGGGCCTCTGCCCTCCCTCACCTGGGTCCAGCAGGCACCCTCCCCGCACCCAGGCCCTGCCTCCGGAGAGGTTCCTTGCTGCCCGCAATGCCCTTCCTCCGCCCCCGCCCTGGTCACTCTGCAGGGGTCTCCTGCGGGGAGCCGGGTCCAGCTCACCCTGCAGACCCAGTGGGTCGTCGGCCTCCCGCGCTGCTCATCCACGAGCACCCTGAGTGTGCGGCCCCAGCAGCCGGCTGGGAGCCCCACCACTCAGGACTCTCCGCACGCGCCTGGAGGAGGGCACAGGGAGCCGGGTGGCCGTGTGGGCACTGAGTCTGGAGATGTGGGCATAGCAGGGACAGAGCCAGAGGGGTTCTGTTCCCGCCAAAACCCCTGAGCCTGCTTATTCTAACTCATGCCCTGCTGATGCTGCAGGGACCCGAATAATCTGCTTCCCCTCCCCGCATCCTTGTCTTTCACCTGATTTCCAACTGCCTGACTTCACTGGCCGATCACACTCAATCAGCAGGCGGACGCTGTATATTCTTCTCCAATGAAAGAGTGAGCGCAAAATTAAGAATTAAAAAGCAAAACGGATGAGCCAGGAAATGATTTAAATTACTTACTTTAAGACAAGTATCTTTTAAGTGTCTGATATGTCCTGCAGGTGGTTATTTATGAGACACCATCCAAATGGTCTGAAATAATGAAATCAGCTCGAAATCCAGTCCACCTTGCTCTCCTCTTGGTGTTCATACACCGTTTTTCTGCATGCTCTGTATTGGATATTGAGTCATAGAGGCATCGGGCACCTGTAACTCATACAGCCTGCGATTAAACTAGAAAAATATCTTAAACTACACAAGAGGTTTTTACAGAAGTGAATGTTAGGTAATATTATGCAGATCTCATATTATTAAAACTTATTTATGTTGTGAGATAGATAATGAGGTTTACATAGGTAGTAATGTTTCTCATGTGAATTATGCACACTTGCTTTGAATGCTATAAGACAAATTATGTATTTTGTGATATTTATAATAAATATATCGGTCACCAATCTTTTGAGGGAAAAGTAATTTAAAGTAGCACATGAAGTTGGTAAATTGCATTTTGGCTCTGGGAGCTACAACATCAGGGGTCAGAGCCATTCATGGAAAAGGTGGTTGGTGTATTTATAGCCCTCAGCACAGAACTTAGCAAACAATATGCATTCACTGTGTGTTGGGTTAACATGCAGACTGTGCAGATCATTTTGAATACAGAGCCTCACACACAGCGTTGATCTTAAGTAGACAGAAGGCCCTTGGCGGAGCCACACACTTCTTTTGTTACATGTGCAGCGAAGCCCGCTGAGTACGGACTTGACCTGGACTCTTGGTTGCAAATTGTCCACTGCACAAGTGATCTGAGGTAGTCACCTGGTTACAACTGTATTGTTATATCTGGAATGGCCTGGTAGTAAAATGACATGTAGCCAATCACATTTCTATACACTAAGCAATGAACAGTTAGAAAAAGCAAAATTTGAAAACACTACATGTATAAGAGCACCAGGCATAAATCTAGGAAAATACGTATAGGATTTCTATGCTAAACCCCAGGAAATGCTGAGGGAAGAAAGCAAAGAGAGAGCGGAGAGACGTTCTGTGTTCGTGGATGGGATAGCTCAGCGTGGTAAAGGTGTCGACTCTCCCCAAATAGCTCTACAGATTTAATGCACATCCTATCAAAGTCCCAACACGGTTTTGTTCAGATGCAGACAAGCTGTTTCTAAGACTATCCAGAAATGCAAAGGGACTGAAATAGCCCAGCAATGGTGGAAAAGAAGAATAAAGCTCGAGGTAGCATATCTTTGAATTTCAGATTTCTGTAGAGTGAAAGTAACCAAGGGAGTGTGGTGTTGGAGGGGAGACAGACACATAGATGGGCAGACACCATCGTGTCCAGAAACAGGCCCACCCAAATGTGACCTGCTGATTCTTGAGAAAGGTGTGAAGACCATTCAATAATATTTTCAACAAATGGTATTGGAACAACTGCATCTGAATATCCAAAAAAATGGACCTCAACCCAGTGTCGCACCTTATCCAAAAATGAACTCAAAATGGACTATAGATCTTTATGTACAACGTAAAACTATACGATTTTAGAAGAAAGCATATTCCTGAGACATGACACCCAAGGAATGGCCCATAAAATTTAAAACTTTGGTTTTGCAAAAGACACTGTTAAAAGAATGAAAAGTCAAACTACAGACTAGAGAAAATATGTGCAAAACACACAACTGACAAAACACTTGAAACCAGAATATGTAAAGAGCTCTCAAAACTCAATGGTTAAAAAAACAACCCAGTTTAAAATGATGGACCAAACACGGAATCAATGCGGCATGAGACAGGACGGGCATGTGAAAAGCTGCTCGACATTGTCAGCCACTAGGAAAATGCACCTCAAAGCCCCGGGGAGACACGTATATCACGGTGGACAAAATTAAAAGTACCGACAATACTAAGTGTTGAAGAGGATGTGGGGCACCAGGAGCTCTCTTGCATTGCTGGTAAGAATGCAAAATGGTACAGTCCCTCTGTCAAACAATTTGGCAGCTAATTATAAAGTTAACCATCTACTTCCCGGTAGGACCCAGCAATCCTGCTTCCTGCTTTGAATGGTAAAAGGAAAAAAATATTTCTGGAAGTGATTTTTTTTTTTTTTTGTAATGAATATACTGGTCACCAATTTTTTGAGGGAAAAAGTAATTTCAATCTTAAATGAAAACTTATGTTCATTAAAAAAACCTGTCCATGAATGTTTATTAGCAGCTCAATTCCTGATCACTAAATCGGCAAACAACCCAAATGCTCATCAGTGAGAGGAAAGGTAGACGAGTGGCATGTCCGCACAGGGGAGGACCACGCAGCAGCAAGACCGGACGAACGTTTGATACACCCGGGAACTCAAGGCCTCTCCAAGGTGTCAGGCTGACAGAAGCAACCACTCCCAGAAGAGTTCCTGCCGTGTGGACTCATTTATGTGGCATTCTTCTAACGATTAAACCGCAGCGAGGGCGAGCAGGGCATCGGTCGCCAGGGCACAGGGATGGGCGAGGGGAGGCTGTGGTGTGGGCACGATGGGAAAGCAGGGGGACGGCTCTGGGGTGAAGGGTCCTCACTGTGGGGGCGGCTACGCAGAAGGCCACATGCCTTAGGCTTCACAGAACCATGCACGGAAACCGAGTCCGTGTCTCTGTAGGTTAATATCTAAACTAGAGCACGGCCGTTAGCAGGGTCTGTCTTTACGAAGCCGACTGTTGATGAGGACACTGTCTAGTGGGAGCCCTGTGTCCATGAGTCTGGCCGTCCCTCCAGATGCAGCATCTTGTCTCCGTCTGAGCTCTTGCTCGCATGGGCACCCTTGCTTGGAACATCTTCCCCTTCCTAATGTGTCCGCTTTCTGAACAATGT